GGGAAGGCAGTGAGCTGGCGGCGGCTCGGCGGCTCAAGGGGCCGGCTAGGGCGAGTGGGGCCGACAAGGGTGCGTGGGGCCAGCTAGGGACACGGGGGGGGCGGTAGGAGCACGAGGGGCCGTAGGGGCGCGAGGGGCCGGCTAGGGGCGCGAGGGGCCGGTAGGGGCGCGACGCGGCTGGCTAGGGGCGCGAGGGGCCAGTAGGAGGCGCGACGGGGCCGGCTAGGGGCGTGAGGGGCCGTATTGGCGCGCGGGGCTGGCTAGGGGAGCAAGGGGCCGGAAGGGGCGCGACAGGGCCGGCTAGGGATGCGACATGGCCGTAGGAGCGCGACAGGGCCGGTAGGGGTGCGACGGGGCCGGCTAGGGGCGCGACGGGGCTGTAGGGGCGCGATAGGGCCGTAGGGTTGCGACGGGGCCGTAGGGGCGCGACGGGGCTAGCTAGGGGCGCGACGGGGCCGGCTAGGGGCGCGAGGGGCCGTAGGGGCACGACGAAGCCGTAGGGGCGCGACGGGGCCTGCTAGGGGCCCGACGGGACCGTAAGGGCGCGACCGGGCTGTAGGGGCGCGACGGGGCCTGCTAGGGGCGCGACGGAACCGTAGGGGCGCGACGGGGTTGTAGGGCCACGACGGGGCCTGCTGGGGGCGCGACGGGGACGTAAGGGCGCGACGGGGCCTGCTAGGGGTGCGACGGGGCCGTAGGGGCGCGACGGGACCGTAGGGGCGCGTGGGGCCAGCTAGGAGCGCGAGGGTCCGGTAGGTGGCGGCACGGGGCGGAAGCGGGTGGGTGGACCTACCTACTCGTTATACCATGTTAAGACTAGAAAGAATGAATAGAAAAGGGGAGAACAGGGGAGATATAGCGTTTGGGTTGTACCCACTAAGAGCATACCCTATCTAGCCTACAACTTCTACATAAGATCCAGTCAAAGTAATGCATCTGCCTGGCCAACATATACATATGTATAAATATATACATATGTTGACACACCCCCGAGGCTTGGTAGGCGCTACTAACAGAGGCAAGAGCCAGGGCAGCACTACCACACACCCAGCACCCCCATACCCAGCAGCAGCTGTGGGATTCTACAGCGGGTCGACCCTTCGGCGTGCGAGGCGGCGACATCAGCAGCGGGGGCAGCGGCAGCGGCAGCGGCGGCGGCGGCGGTGGCGACGTTAGTGGCGGCGGTGGCGACAACGACAGTGGTGGCGGCAGTGGTGATAGCGGCGACGAACAGGGTCCTCAATTGCCTTGGAACACTTTCTAAGCGATCAGAAAGGCAGATTTTTTATTTCTGAATTCCCAGACGAAGTGAAAGACGAATTCTAAATTTTCAGACGTGTCAATCAACACAATCTAATTGCCCCCACCCTCATGGCCCTAGGATTTTCAGGTGAACTTTGGCGACGAAACCACTCGGTGTGGTTTTTAATTGGGGGGCGAAATTGTGGGAATGGAGCGGAAAGGATTTGGGGAGAAATGTGAATCACAATTGCAGGGGCGGGAGGGGAATCGGCACGAGCACACGTGGCAATGGCCAAAGAGTGCCCTCGCACACACGGCCCTCCAGCACAACTCAGGAAAAAATGGTGAAGGGCCAATCGGCGCTCTCACACCGCTCTGAGCACAAACTCGGAGGTGATTTGGTGAAGGGCCAGATAGCGCCCTCACAGAGCCTTCAGCATGCAATGGGCACTGATTTTGGCTTAGGGCTAATCAGTGCCCTCATACAGTCAACAGGCCTACAGAAGTCGCTTTCATAGGAGAAGAATCGCGAACTCTGAAAGTTCAGAGGAACAAGTTTTCGTGGCACTGGAATAACCCTGTTGATCCTCTCTCTCTCTCTAGGGATGTTACTGGGGAGGCTTTCCCTGGGGAAGGTGTATATATGAAGCCTAACCCTCCTGATGAGATCCCTTCTTGTCCCAATGGTTGGGATACTTTATGACATGGTATCAGAGCCATCCGGGGTTCAATTCTTGGTGTACACGCTATCCCAGCGGGGGGGTGTGTCGTGGCACTGGGATAACCCTGTCGATCCTCAAGGTGGACACTTTATGTGTGATTGGTACTGTAAGGTGCCCGTAATTTAGGTAGAATGGTGACTGTCGGGTGGTGGCTGACGGGGCGTTATTATACGCGAACTCAATCAGTGGCAGTTGCTGCTCCCAGTTGGCCACGTCATCACAGGTGGCGCGAATCAGCCGCTCCGTCGTCTGATTAGCCCGTTCGGTCTGTCCGTCAGTCTCGGGGTGGTAGGCAGAGGAGAATCGGAGGTGCGTGCCAAAATGTTCCCAGAGGTTGCGCCTGAAATTGCTGGTGAATTTCGTGTCACGATCCAAAATTAAGGCGGACGGAATTTCGTGGAGGCAAACGATGGTCGAGATGAAAAGGTGGGTGTTTCTTCGGCTGATATGCTTTTCTTGCAGGCGGCGAAGTGGGCCATCTTCGCCAGCTTATCGGCAACGACAAATATCGCGTCATTACAATCGTCCTTGGCTGGCAGCCTCGTGACGAAGTCCATGGCGGAAGCGCTGCAACTGTCGAGCTGGCTTCTGTTGCGACGATTTTATGGTTTGGCAGGTTCTGCACGAAACCACATGCCGCTGCACGTCCCCTTGCATGTCGGTCCATATATAGTATTTGGTCGACTTCTGCCGTGTTTTCTCCATTCAATGGTCGATGGGCCATTCTGGTAGTAATCCTTGGGTAGGTCGTCTGGAAATATATGCGGAAAACTGCGAATCAGTTGCGCGAGATCGGCCGACACTACTACTGTTAGATTCTCTAAATCGGGCAGCTGCGGTGCCACATCGACAGCGCGAACAACCACAGCGAAGACTTCTACGCCCCGTGCGACTGCTCATTTGATCGCCACGGAGTTCACATGCATCACTCCCCCTGTGATCCCTTTTGTCCGGTCTAGGAACGTCACACTACGACCGTTGATTTTGAAGAATAGTTGTCTGTCGTCCAATCAATTTTGGATCGAAGCGTTGCAGCCAATCATGTCCCAGCAACATGTCAAAGCCTTCGAGTATAGTTGCCAGCTTCCCCATCATGAAATTGAATTCAGCTCCACAGTGTACCCTAATCCTATCAGCTTTGTCTTTTATTGCTAATGGGGTCCCGTCGACTTGTCGGGCGTCAATCTCCGGTAGACACCCATCTAAGGGTAACTTCGTTTTTTTGGCCGTGGTGAGGTTGATCAGGCTGTGGCTGGCTTCCCCGTCCGCGAAGATTTTTTTTTCCCTAAACCCTACCCTCTAAATAAATGGGTAATCCGCCACTGCAACCTTCTTATTTAGACGAGTTTGGTCGATTGCGTGGATCGGTACGAGTACTTGAAAAAGGGTCGTCATTACACGGGGAAATTGTGGGAATGGAGGTCTTTCAGCCTTTGAGAGTCATCGATGAAAAGGCCGGGTTTCTTGCAGAGGTTGCAGAAAGGTCGCTTTTGATTCTCCCCTTGTCCAGTGCCGCCATTCCTTTGTCCGACATGAAAACTAAACTTCTCTACTTTTGCCTTGTTGCTTGTGTTGTACATAACCATGTCTTGTTGTTTGGCAATGAGAGTCACGTAAAGCGCACTCTCCAAAATGTGGTCCTGTGTGCGCAAGAAGGCCTTGCACATGCGCTGGTCAGAGCCGAGTCTAGGAGGAGCACGGTAACGAAGAGTTCGTTGGGGAAACTTCCACCGATCCTAAGGAACCCATCGCGGTGCAACACGTACTAATACCACAAGGGTGCTTATTAAAAATTAACCTTAGGTCGCAGACCTTCAAGTTACACTACGACAACGTGAGTGCCTAAAAATCGCCAACATGTTCTGTGAATCACTCGAAGCACATCGTCCTGCAGTATTTCATTTAAGGACGAAATTGACAAATGCAAGGTGGACCTCACCTATTGCCCCATAGGTAACATGGCAGCAGACTTCTTTACCAAGAAGCTACCACGTCAGCAGTACTGGCATCACACCGATCTCTGCATAATTACTAAGTGCGCCAAATCCCTAAACCCTTTAGGAATGAGGGGAACGACAAGGAATTGTTTTTGATATTCCTGAAAGCAACACGGTAACACCAACTAGATATGTTATATCCTCGATTGTAGATCATTGACCAGCAACTCAACATGTAGAAGTTCAAAGGTCGACGGTCGGATACGACAGCATGGATGCATAACTGAACCCATTGTTGCAGCATGAGCAGTTACCCGAGTCATGTATCATTACTAAGTGACATCTCATATCCAAAGGCATGTACCCTTGTTAAGTGGACATATAGCTAGGATCTTATGATGTATAACAATACATAGACACATGTATCGCTGGCTATTATTATCTTGTTCTTTTGCATTCATTCTTGACAAGGTATTCATCTAATCACATCGCTTTGGCTAGCTACCTATAAGCAAGTGTTCGATCCTGACGATCCCATGGACCTTCGTGATTGCATCAAGAGCTAAAACTTCGCAAGAATTTCGGGATCAAAGCGTGTCATGCTATGGGCCTGGTCATACTGGTCGTATGCTCTGTAAACATATCACGTAAACGAGACGAACTACCATATAAACAAATTATCTATACAAGAAACCCTATATGCAAAGAGAACGGGTTTCAGTTAAACAGTGCTCTTACGGTTAGTACATGCATTATTTTGAGGAATCAATCAGGCTAGCCGTGCGATTTCAGAACGACGCAGATCGCTTGCCGGCGGAGTTATGACAATTGTATGTGTCAAGATCGCCAACCAATGTGCGGTGCTCGATACATAATACTATCGGAGGTCCTACGTGTCACGAAATCAATGAATGATGAGCCGCCATATTTGGCGAATTTAACGCGTACGTTTGTGATGTACTACCGAAGTTTTCTTTTATTGCGCGGTCTATATATTTTTGCTATTCGCTTCCATTACGATATTCAAGATGGTTACGCTTCTCGCGAACTTTCTGACGTTTTGGCGCAAGCCACGCAATGGGAACCAAAAATTTCGTCGACTTCGTTAGTATTTAGATTTATTTATTTATTTATTTCTTCTTCTTCTTCTTCTTCTTCTTCTTCTTCTTCTTCTTCTTCTTCTTCTTCTTCTTCTTCTTCTTCTTCTTCTTCTTCTTCTTCTTCTTCTTCTTCTTCTTCTTCTTCTTCTTCTTCTTCTTCTTCGTCTTCTTCTTCTTCTTCTTCTTCTTCTTCTTCTTCTTCTTCTTCTTCTTCTTCTTCTTCTTCTTCTTCTTCTTCTTCTTCTTCTTCTTCTTCTACTTCTTCTTCTTCTTCTTCTTCTTCTTCTTCTTCTTCTTCTCTCTCTCTCTCTCTCTCTCTCTCTCTCTCTCTCTCTCTCTCTCTCTCTCTCTCTCTCTCTCTCTCTCTCTCTCTCTCTCTCTCTCTCTCTCTCTCTCTCTCTCTCTCTCTCTCTCTCTCTCTCTCTCACGTCAAACCCAAATGAAAACATCTCGCCCTTATTCTTCATAGAGCGCATTCAGTATTATGAGAATATGAAACTTTCTGATGAAATTGGGGTTGATACGCGTACGACATGGCACTGGGACGTCCTCTCGCAGCATACGCCAACACCGCCAACCATAGTACAAGCCAAACAAGGCTCCAACTTAACAGAAAATGATATAGTAAATGCTGCCCGTTTTTGTACTGCCATTGTTCCTTGTATGCAAAAATCGTCGGGTCGCGTGCGTTGTGCTACTGGAATATGACCTGTATGGTAGATGGGACTGCATGTAGGATGATAAGAGCAGGAGAGGCTTCCGTGTTTTGACAAGTGAAAGAATTTCAAAAACTTTACCAGAAAACCGTTAACCCATAACAGTTGTAGGTCGGCCTGGTGCTTCAGTGTACTTGGATGTTCTTCTAGGGAAGGTGCTAGCTGGGAAGGCGCATCTGCCGCTGGAAAAGACGAAATGCATTCTCACACGTGGTAGAACCAAGTCAAGCAGCCAATCGGCCTTTCCTGCTCAGATCATGTGGGCCAGGGCACGAATGCGCCGTTTCGCCCAACCATGGATACTCCACCACTACAGACAAGCATCCCCTCTCCGAGCCCAACCATCCCAAACCAAACGAACCAAACACCCTACTGTACTGTACCACTGATGCTGCGTTTCGGCGGCGCCTGATTCTGACGAGCTACCTTGGCTGGGGGCATGTGGGGGAGTTTTTAGGTTACCGGTAACCCTTACTAACGTTTTACTCTCTGGGATCACATTTAGCCCTTTTATGGAATATTTTTTCGCCCTTAAAACCCCTTGGGGGCAGTTTTATTTTCTCTGAGGTTAGCTCACTCCACAGCGAACCACGTGTAACAATCTCCTCAATCTTAGGCAGAGGGCAGAAATTATAAAACCCTTAGGGGCCAGGCATGCCATTCTGGATGGCATCAACCCTAAACTCGCAAAAGGGCCGCGAATTTAGGGTTGATGCCATCCAGAATATCATACTCTCCCCTATGGGTTTTAGTTTTTCCTTGCCCGAATGTTGTCGTCATTTTCAGAAGCGCTACAGATCCCACAATATTGCAGGAAACATAGAGTTCAGTAGCCCCACAGTGATGGAGCAAGGAGATTGTGACGCGTGGTTTTCTGTGGTGCGAAATAACCTCAAAGAACACAAAACTGGCCCCAGGGTATTGTAACAGCAAGAAACTCTTCTGTTAAAGGGACAAATGTTACTCAAAAGAGTAAAATGCTAGTAAGGGTTACCGCTAACGTAAAAACCCCATGTTGGGTGTGTGGTGTAGGCTTGCGAAACTCGGAGGAGCCTTCAACTCAGGCCTGGTTCGGGATGACCAAAGCTGCAGATTCGTCTGGAAATGTGGTCTGGAAAGCTCGGCTCGGTGGCTCAGTGGCACTGCTACGATCGGTTCGGATGGGTTTCGAGAAGATATGGTTTGGTACAATTGAGTTTTCCAAACCAGGTTTGATGAGCTTCGACAAAGAACTGTAGACTCGTTTGGCTTGATGTATGGATGTTGGATGGATGGTGGATGGAAGACCAAACAAGAATCTAGGTCTTGTTTCTCCCCTCCACCCTCCCCCACTTCCCCCCTAACCCCCTTCCCCACTAAAGACCGCCGAATACATTAGGTCTTTTGAGATGTGAGATTCGCTGAAGCGCGCCGACTACCTGCAGCCTGCGTGCGTGCCGCTTGTGTCCTACGCCTGCTTGCTTCCTCCTCGCGCCGTGCTCGCCCCGAGCAGCAGCCGCCGTAGTCTGCGTTCCACGGTGTAGGATGCGCGTGTACTGCACTGAACTGCAGTCCACAGACAGTATTGGATGGCGTTCAGGTGGCTCTCCTCCCCATGCACGCCACCACCACCAGCCATCGCTCAGCCAGGTTGAACTCCCCTCTTGGAGTTCCCGGTACCGAATCTCGCCATGTTTTGCGGCCAAGAACAGCGCGAGCAAGCAACACTCGGGGGCCCGGCCCGGATCGCCCTAGTACTCTCCCACAGTGGTGTGCGCTGGTCCCTGCTCGGAAGGCACAGGCTGTCACACAGAGCCGCAGTTCATTCGCGTCCACGAGTATCACCTGCGAGACAATTCATCTTCAGGCTCAAAACAACGGGTGCTGTGCTGTGCTTAGCTGTGCCGTGCTCAGCTGTGCCGTGCTGTGCTGTGTTCCTGCCACGCGGAGCTCTCAGCAAACAAGCGAAGCGGGCGTGGTGTTGCTCTGGGAGGTACTGTCTGGTACCGGATAGCGCGTTCTTTATCAGCCTTCGGAGGAGCCTAGGTTTCCCCATATCCTCACAGGCTCATTCCAGGACACACGAAATCCCAGGTGAACGAGGTCGCCGTCCCGGTACGCGTATCAGCCATCTCGTTGTACAGAACTCTCGTGGGATATCTTGGCCTCCGTGCCACAATTTCTACCTGGAGACTAACACCTCACGCCACCCACGATAGTTCTGAGAGAACGGGTTGACTGCCGGTTGAAGCCACCGTCTCATATTTCCAACCAAGTTGCAACGCTGCCGAAGAAGGCTTTCCCGGTTGCCGTTGGCCGTTGGTGCGTCACAGCCGCCGTCGCTGCGAGTCTCGAGCACAGGGGGGGGACGAGGGACGAGACGAGCCGACAGCCGCGATGACGATGGCCGAACGCCATGGCGGTATTGAGGAGGTACGTACCAAGCCGTATCGGAGCACGATCTCGATTGCTGTTTTGACTCTTGCGTCGACTCATAAGCACGGCGGTATTGAGGGGGTACGTTTAGAAGCGGCACAGCCTTAATTGCTCTTCGATTTTCCGCCGGCTGCTTACCCAGAAGTGGTGGCTGTTGTGACTTCTTTCAGCTTGTTCCGTCCGAACCTCAAGTCGAGGCACCAGAAGCTGATTTATGCGTGGTGCAGATCACCTAAGCTCGGTGGTTTTTTTGGGTTTTGTTTTCCCTCTCTTTCTTAAACTTGAGACAGTGCGCGGATTTGAGACTTTCTTTCTCCTTGGGAAAGTCTTACAGAGTGTAACTAGGAGCTTGTGAGCCAGTGTCCCCGCTTACATCACTCCCGTATTGTATTGTCCGTTACAGGTGGAGTTGCGCGATGTGGAGCAGCAGCAGCAGCAGCAGAAGCAGCAGGCGCAGGAGCAGGATCCGCAGACGCAGAAGAGTCTGCTGGAGGAGCAGCACCAGCAGGAAATGGGAGCTCCGATCTCGGACGATGCAGGTGCGTGCGCCGTCAACACGCACGCACCACCGCCGTTGTGACACCACCATTTCTCCGATTCGTACTTGTTTCCCATGCCTCTCACCACCGCCGTCATGACACCACTGCCGAGCCTTTTCCACTCTTCCTCTCTGTGTCTGCTTCCTCTCCCCGCGCTCTCTCGGGCAGCAGGCGGCAGCGTGGCAGCGCAGCACGGGTTCGTGTTCAGCATGGAGCAGCTGGTGAACCTCAGCTCCAACGCCAACGTCGACGACCTCCAGCGCATGGGCGGGGTGAGTGAGTCACGCCGCGTCTCCGAGTATCGCCGCTGTACCCTCGGTCTCTAATCAACGCACTGTCTCAAACCGTCTCACTGTCAACAAACAAGCCGAGAGCCGAGATAGCCGAGAGAGCCGTGAGAGCCGAGAGAGCCAAGAGAGCCGAGAGAGCCGAGAGAGCCGAGAGAGCGGAGAGAGCGGAGAGAGCCGAGAGAGCCGAGAGAGAGCCGAGAGAGAGCCGAGAGAGCCGAGAGAGCCAGGCGCCGAGGTCCTCGTGGTCGCATGTGGTCGCCGTTTCGCGGCCGAGGCCTGGTGAAGAAACGGCATCCCGGTTGCTGCTCATCTGCGACCGCCTGTGGATGATGGGGATCTGAGGATCTTCCACGAGGAAGCCTGTTTTCGTCTAGCCTAACTGGTGTATGAGCGATCGCATGTGGTCGAATCACACAGCTGCCGACAGTGCCTTACTCATGTCCTCCTGTCTCCCTTTTTCCCGCTCCCCCCTCCTCCCTTTCCTTCCACTTTCCTCAATCCGTGCAGGTGAGGGGTCTCTGTGCGGGTCTGGCCGTAGATTCCGAGATGGGAATCAACGGTGACGATGCAGAGGACCTCAAGCGCCGCGCCGAGGCGTATGGAGCCAACACCTACCCCAAGAAGCCCCTCCCACCGTTCCTGGTGCGTGCAAGCAAGCAGGCAGGCAAGCAGGCAAGCCGGCAAGCAAGGCCCATTCCGCTTGCCGCTCTTCCTCAGTCCTCGAGCCGGCATCCTCTTTTTTCCCTAAAAATCAAATAAATATTTCCGCTATCTTGCTTCGCCGAGACGTCCTCACTGTTGAGGTTGCTGCGCCATGCTCGGTCAGTACCCAGCTCGAGTCATCCCAGAAGCGCCTGGAGGTCCCCTTTGCTGTGCACTCGCTCTTTCCACTGCGCTTGCAGTGGTGGTGCTCCCCCTGTCGTCACGCATCCCTGTAGTCACGCATGGGCGCTTTGCTCGCTTGTTGCTCACCTTATCGGCTGTCTTGCTGCTGGAAGGGCTAGTCAAGCCGTTCGTAGTTATCGTCGCCTTGGCGTTTCGCTCACTTGTTTAGTGTCTCCTCTCCGTCTCTCTGTCTCTTTCGCTCCATGCCCCATGCCCCGTGGGTGCGCGCGCGCAGTGGTTCGTGTGGCAGGCGACGCAGGACACCATTCTCATCATCCTCATGTGCTGCGCCGCCCTCTCCCTCTTCTTCGGCATGATCGCCGAGGTACCCCCCTTCCTCTCTTGAGTCTACTCAAAAGCAGTAACCCCCTCTTCCCCTCTTCTGCTCTCCCTCTCCTCCTCCGCTCTCCTCTCTCGCGTTCCCCCCCCCCGCACCCCCCCCTCCCCCCGCTCGCTCGTCGTTGGTCGTCTCGGCCATGCGCACCAAGCCTTCTGCCCACAAGGCACTCTGACTGCTTGCCCACAAGTCATTGGTGAAATTCCGGCCTTCACCCCAGTGCTTGCCCGCTTATCTACCTGTTATGCCTCTCTCCCCCTCCCTGCCTCCCTCTTCCTCGCCCTCGTCCTCGCCCTGTGTGTCTCTGTGGCCGTGCAGGGAGTGCACGAGGGATGGCATGAGGGCGTGGCTATCTGCATCGCCGTGCTCATTGTCGTCACCGTCACTGGTGGGCATGGGCATGGGCATGGGCAATCACATATGAGCATGCAGCGTGGCCGCCGTCTCTGCACCTTGTCACTCTCTCATTCCCGTCCTCTCTTCGCCCGCTCATCTCCCACCCGTTCTCTTTTCCTCCCGTCCTCTCATCACCTTCCAACTCTCCCGTCCTCTCCCCCCACTCCCTCGCGTTCCTCCCCCCCCCCCCTCCTCCCCGCGATCAGCGCTCACGGACTACCGCCAGGCGCTGCAGTTCCAAGGGCTGGATGCAGAGAAGGAGGACATTCAGCTCAAGGTGGGTCGCACGCCAAGGTGGGTTACGCGCTCAAGGTGGGTCACCAACCGTCCGCTTGGTTCGGAGTCATTTGGTTGTATGGTCTGGTTTGTGTTTTCTCTTCGCAGCCTGCTCCGTCTCCCTCCTTCACTCCCCCCCCTTTCCCCTCCCCTCCCGTCTCCCTCCCTCCCCTCACCCTTCCCACTCTACCCTGCTCATAGACCCGCTGGAACGTGGCCAATCAGGTGCCCCCCTCCTCTCACTCTCTCTCTCTCAATCTCCCCCTCCCTCTCTTTCTTCCCCCCACCAGGTGATAAGGGGCGGGCGCAGCCAGGCGGCGTCCATATTCGACCTGGTGGTGGGGGACATCGTCCCCCTGGCCATAGGCGACCAGGTCCCGGGCGACGGGGTGTTCATCTCGGGCCACTCCCTCACCATCGACGAGTCGTACATGACAGGGGAAAGCGACCCGGTGAGTACGGCTGCATGTTGAAGTGAAACCCGCGTGCAATGCAACGAGTCTGTCTGCTTTTGAGGCGCCTCGAAAGCGACGGTGCGGGGTGTTCATTTTGGGCCACTCGCTCACCATGGACGAGTCGTACATGACCAGCGGGAGTGGCCCCGCGAGTGTGCTCGTCTCTGGTTGCTTGTACAGGGCGTCGCTCGCCAGTACGTGGCAGGCGAGAGTGAGCCATGGCTTGAAGATAGTTCTCCATCGTTCCGCTATGGCGTGCTTTCTTTCTTTCTTTCTTTCTTTTTAGTTTTTTCCTCTTATTGGTCCTTTGCGCGCTCATCGCTGATGGAGTACTCCCTCTTTTCCCCTCCGTCCGCCTGCCTTCCTCCCTGAATCGCGGCGCCAGATGCACAAGGACGTGTACCGTCCGTTCCTCATGTCCGGATGCAAAGTGGTCGATGGCTATGGCACCATGCTGGTGAGTTGTGGCGGCTGCTGCTGCTGCTGCTGCTGCTGTTGCTGCTCTGCCTCACTGTTGTGCCTCACTGCTCTGTCTCACCACTGCGCCTCACTGCTGTGCTCCGCTGTGATCGCTGCCAGCATCACAGCTGTGCTTCCCAGCTCTCTGCACCTTCTCCCCTTCCCAGCGAGGTTCATTCTCCCTTTTCTTGCTCCATCCCTCTGCTGCTCACATGTGGCATGCCCGGTGTCCCGAAAGCCGCAATAAGACTGCTTCTCTTCTCTCCCACCCTCTCTCTTCCTACCTGTGCCTTGTGTGCGTGTGTGCTCTTTGCCGCGCCAGGTCACGGCGGTGGGCACCAACACGGAGTGGGGTCGCATCATGGCGACTGTCAACAAGGACGATGAATCCGTCACGCCGCTGCAGGTTGGTTGATCGGTCGGTTGGTTGGTTGGTTGGCTGGTTGGTCCCTGTTGTACTGTTTCTGTTATGCCGTCAGCTTGGCGCTCCACAGGCGTTATCGCTGCTCCACAAGGGTTACCTTCCTCCGCATGCATTAATCTCCAACCTAAGCTCACTTTTTTAACCCAACTAGCAGATCCCTATCTTCAATCTCGTATGTCCATCCCCTTCATTATCCTGTCCATCATTTTTCTGTCTGCAGGCCCGTCTGTCCTGGTTGGCCTTTACTCACGCGCCCTCCCTTCCCCCCACACCACGTCCAATCCATCCAACCCTCTTCCAGGCCCGTCTGTCTCGCCTGGCGAAGGCGATCGGCAAGGTGGGCGTGACGGTGGCGGTGTGTGTGCTCATCTTCCTGGTGACGCGCTACTTCACGGACACGTACAGCGGGCAGGGATTCATCGACGTGATCAAGGAGCTCGTGGACGAGATCGCTGTGGCTGTCTCCATCGTCGTCGTCGCCATCCCCGAGGGGCTGCCTCTCGCTGTAACGCTCACGTGAGTTTATGGTGGTTTGAGGTGTGAGGCACTTTCGAAGCAAGGAGCTGGTGGGCGAGATCGCTTTCGCTGTCTCCGTTGTTGTCGTGGCCATCCGTGAGGGGCTTCCTCTTGCTCTTACCTTGACGAGAGTAGTCATGTCGTGACTTGTGGTTCGAGGCCTGAGGTGCTGCAAGGCACAACAAGCTCGTGGATGAGGAGAGTGACGTGGCCATTTTTGAGGGGCTGCCCCCTTCTGTCGCTCTCACGTCACGTGAGTTATCGTTGCACCTCATCCATCGTGCATTGCAACCTTGCCTTATGCGGGCTTGCCTACTCCATGCACAAGGTGATGGACGACAAGGCTCTGGTGCGGAACATGGCAGTGCTGTCAACCCTAGCAACTGACGAAGCTCACCCTGCCCTCCCCCTCTCCTCTACCCCCCCCCCTCCCCCCCCTTTCCTGTGATTTTCACCTGCCTATTTGCAGGCTGGCCTACTCGATGCGCAAGATGATGAACGACAAGGCGCTCGTGCGAAACATGGCGGCATGTGAGACCATGGGGTCGGCCACTGCCATCTGCAGCGACAAGACCGGCACACTCACTCTCAACCAGGTGCGCTTCACATCTTCCTTCCATCATCTCCCTCCCTCACCTCACACTCTCTCCCTCTCTCTCTCACGCACCCCTCACACCCTCTTTCACCCTCTACCACCATCCCATGCCGTTTTTCATTCAGCCGCCTTACACCTGCTGAATGCCCTTCTCTGTCATTCTTTCCACCTGGCCATCTCGCGCTTTCCTTTCAATCGACATCTGTGGCAACCATTCTCACCTAGTGCTCCACTCTTACCTGTCCCATTCGCCCCTCCGTTTCCTGCCCTGTGCTCCAATCCCCTCCCCCCTACCCCCTCGCCTCCCTCCCCCTTGTCTTGTGTCTCAACGCAACGCTCCTCTCGCGGCGGCGGCCAGATGACAGTGGTGAGGGAGTGGCAGGGGGGAGAGCTGCACCAGCCAGACGTCATCAACAACTTTGACCCCGCCTCGCCTCTCCTCCAGGTCACACACAAACACACACACCTTTGCCCTCCACTGTCTTTTCAGTCGACTCAAAAGTCCCCTCGCTCATCCTCCAGGCCTCTTTCTCACACACACACACCTCTGCTCTTCATTCGCTCCCTCAACTCTCTCAGCTTGAGTCAATCTAGAGCTTCCAGGCATGGTGCCAGGTTTTGTCCCGGCATGCGCTGTAGGGCGTGTCAGCCCCCAATCGCCGTGGTCCTGGGTCATGGCGCCTCCCTGTGCTGTCCTCGTGTTCGCCTTTCACCACCTTACTGCTGAATTTGATCTGATTCGTTGCGCTGCGGCTGCTGCTCTCTGTTGCTGCTGTTGCCACAGGTTATTCTGGAAGGTGTGGCGCAGAACAGCACAGGCACTGTCTTCATTCCTCCGGTACGATTTGCTGCATGGCATTGCGTGGAATGGCGTGGCACGGCGTGGCATGGCGTGGCATGGCACTGCATGGCACGGCATGGCATTGCATGGCATGGGTGGCCTTTTGTTGTTTGCGTGCATTGCACGTGACAGCCTTGCAACAATCGCTGCTGTCCTATCCTATCCACCCTGTGTGTGTGTGCAGAATGGAGGCGAAGTGGAAGTATCAGCGAGCCCAACTGAGACTGCCATAATCCAGTGGGCGCTCACTGTGAGTCCCCCACTTGTTCCTCAGCTTCTTCCTGTTCTCCCGACCATGCTCCTGCCGATGTGCCCTTGAGTCCATTCAAAACCTTTTTCCTGTTCTCCCGACCATTTTCCTGCCGCTGTGCCTGTTTCTGAGCTTCTTTGCCGTTTTCACAGTCCACAGCACGTTTTTTATCCTCCCTGCCTCGTCAGCTGGCCATCGCTTGCAGCGCCTGAAACCCAACCCTTCTCTCATCCCCCTCATCCGCCTCATCCTCGTCCGTTGAATTCAATGTTTCCGATGGTTCATGCTCTCTGCTTCCACTGCCTCTCTCCCCCGCATCAGCTCCCCGTGGACTAGACTTAATGCCACTCAACTCTCACATCACATCTGTGGAGGCACTCAGTTCCACCAAGAAGCATTCTGCCATGGCTCACTCCCAACCCCATCCTCTCCAGACCCACTCTTAACTCCTCTCCTTCCCTCCCTCTCTGTCTCCTCCCCCTTTTCTTCCTCTCCCCCCCCCACCAGCTGGGAATGGACTACAACCGGCTGCGCCACGCGTCGGACATCATCTCAGTGGAGGCGTTCAACTCCACCAAGAAGCGTGCCGGCGTGGTGGTGAGGCGCACTGATGGAGAAGTGGTGGTGCACTGGAAGGGCGCAGCGGAGATGGTGCTGGCCAACTGCGAGAGCTGGAAGGACGCCCAGGGCAACAGCGTTGCCTTCACCTCTGACAAGGTGGGTTGGAACTTGGTGCTTGTGTAGAGCCCTTGACTTGAGGTGAGGCGTGCAAGTGGCGATGTGGTGGTGCACTGGAAGGGCGCGGCGGAGATGGTGCTGGCCAACTGCGAGAGCTGGATGGATGCGCAGGGGAACAGCGTTGCCTTCACCCCTTATCAGGTGAGTTGGAGCCGTGTGGAGCCCTTTAGTTGGGATGTTATGGGCGTGGCTGTGAAGCGCAACACTGGCGATGTGGTGGTACACTGGAAGGGCGCAGCGGAGATGGTGCTCGCCAAGTGCGACCACTAGATGGGTGGTCGCCCAACGCCTAAACCGTCTCTCTCTCCTGTTCCTCCCTCGTCCAGCCTCTTGGCCCCTTCCCCAATGATCCTTCGTATTATCGCATCGGCAAAACATTCAGGTCGTCGTGAGGTAGCAACTTTTCCCTCACCCCTTTCTCCCCTCCTCTCTCGCTCCCTCTCTGAAACCGCTTCCCCTTCCCGCTCTTTGCCGATCCCCCATCTCCCCTCCTTCCCCCCCCCGCAGCTCAAGTCAGTGCAGGCGGCCATCGCCACCATGGCAGCATCCTCCCTGCGCTGCATCGCCCTCGCATCCTCTCCGGTGCCCCTTGCAACTGTTCCTGACGACACCGAGTCCTGGCAGTTCCCCGACACCTCCCTCACTCTCCTTGCCATCGTGGGCATCAAGGATCCCTGCCGCCCGGGCGTGCCTGAAGCGGTGGCGCGGTGCCAAAAGGCCGGGGTGAAAGTGCGCATGGTGACGGGGGATAACGTGCTCACAGCGAAGGCCATTGCCACGGAGTGCGGGATTCTGACCCCGGACGGGATTGTGATTGAGGGGAAGGACTTTCGCGTGCTGCCGTTGGATCGCATGATGGAAATCATCCCATCCATTGACGTGAGTCCTGTGCCATTTATTAATTGGAATCTCCAGCCCTGAACCTCTCCCCCCCCACCCGCTCCTCCCCCCTTCCCCCCCATTTTACTTCTTTAAATTGAACCTAGTACCTGTTGCATCATGCTTATACACTCTCCGTGCCCAGTAGCAAAGCACTTCAACTGGGTATTCCTTCCTATGCGTATGCTCCTTCAGCAAGCGTTATCAGCCAGGCCATGTTGATCGACATGGCAGCTGAAGCCGCTTCTCAACTTTCCTTCCCTTAACCTTCCCCGCTTCCTGCCTGCCCGTTTCTTCCCCTCTTCCTTCCCCCTCCTCCCCCCCCCCCCCCCCTCTCTCCCTTAATTCAGGTGATGGCACGGTCGTCCCCCACGGACAAGCATCTGCTGGTGTCGATGCTGCAGCGCATGGGCGAGGTGGTGGCTGTCACAGGCGATGGCACCAACGACGCACCTGCTCTCTACGAGGTCGGTTGATGGGAGTAGGGAGGAATTGTGGCCGCTCGCTCACGCACTCTCTCTATCCTCCCCCTTCCTCCGCCCTCTCATCTCTCATGCTCTTGACCCATCTCTTTCCTCCCTCTCCGCTCCTCTTTGCGTCCACATGCCGACATCGGTCTCTCAGTAAGCCTCTCTCCATCACGGAGGGAGGTGGCCAAGGAGAGCTCTCACATCACATCATCATTCAAAACGTGCATGTCTATCTCCCCTGCCTCCAGGCTGACATCGGTTCTCTCCATGGGTCTGTCAGGCACGGAGGTGCCCAAGGAGAGCTCTGACGTCATCATTTGAACTGTGCATGCCTCTCTTGCTGTTCCCTCCCTCCCTCCCTCCCTCCGTCTCCAGGCCGACATCGGTCTTTCGATGGGTCTGTCCGGCACGGAGGTGGCCAAGGAGAGCTCCGACATCATCATTCTGGACGACAACTTTGCGTCCATCGTGCGCGTGGTGCGGTGGGGGCGGTCGGTGTTTGCGAGCATCCAGAAGTACATTCAGTTCCAGCTCACTGTCAACATCTGCGCGCTCTCCCTCAACTTCATCACCGCGCTCACCAGCGGCGCCGTGCCCCTCACCACTGTGCAGGTGCTCGGATCGAGGGTTTCATACTGATAGTCGGGTGGGGGTGGGGTGAGGGTGGTTGGCTGTTCATTGCCGCGCAGCGCGCTATTCTTCGTGGCTGCTTGCTTCTTTGTTCCAAGCTCCTAGTTGTATCACGTGCCTCTGAAGATGCGCATCTGTTCACCATGTTGACCGCTAAATTCCTCACTTGCTTTTTTTCACCTCCTCGCTTCCTTCCCTGCTGCCATCCCTTGTCCTGTACACTCCCCTCTTCTCCCATCTCCTCGCAGCTCCTATGGGTGAATCTCATCATGAACACACTCGGAGCGCTGGCGCTCGCCACAGAGCCCCCCACGTCCGACCTCCTCGAGCAGCCACCCGTCGGCAGAACGTGAGAGGCCTCCTTATCGCTTCCCCCCCCCCTGCTTTGTGCTTTTCTTCTCTTTCAACCCCCCCTCCCCACCCCCCTTCTCCCCCCCCTCTCCCCTCCCTCTTCCCCTCCTCCTCTCCCATCCTCCTGTACCTGGTTGCGCTCTGTGTTATGGTGCTGATTGATTTCACAAATTTCACAAATCTCATGCCTGTTCCTCGCTTTCTGCACCTGCGCCCTACTCCTTCCCTTACCTTGCTCCCCGACCCGACATCAACACTTCCCATTCACTCTTACACCTGCCACCCTCCAGCCCCCAAACTCCTTTCCTGACTCGTTTTATCCACATGTCCCCTCTCCCTCGTCCCCTCCCCTCTCCCCTCTCCCCTCCCCTCTTCTCTCTCCCCTCTTCCCTCTCCCCTCTCCCCTCCCCTCTTCTCTCTCCCCTCTTCCCTCTCCTCTCCCCTCCTCCACACTCACCCTCCCACCCATCTCCATTGCACCCCACCCTGTGCTCCCCCTGCCCTGCAGAGCGCCCCTCATCACCAACATCATGTGGCGCAACATCTTCACGCAGGTAAACTCGCCTGCCTCGCATGCTCACAAAGCTAGCCAGTCCGTCTCCCCCCTCCCCCCTCCCCCCCCTCCTTCCCCCCTCCACCCCTCCTTCCCCCCTCCCCCGCTCCTTCCCCCTTCCCCCCTCCTTCCCCCTCTTTCCCCCCCCTCTTTCCCCCCTCCCCCCCCTCCTTCCCCCCTCCCCCCCCTCCTTCCCCCCTCCCCCCCTTCCTTCCTCCCTCCCCCCCGTTTTCTCTATCCACGTGTGTTGCGGATTCCTCCCCAGCTGTTGCCTCCTTGATCAAATCCACTACCCTCGTGCCTCCATATCCTCGTACTTAAGCCTGTAAATACAAAATTCGGTATTAGTACACTATTCGATATTCAGCAAATACACAAATACAAAACGAACTCGCAATGGCTGTTTATTCGGAGTTATTTGCGGGATCAAATACTCGTCTCGGACAAATATTCGTGCCCCGAATATTTGGTTATTCACAAAGTATTCGAAACGGCATCATATCTCGCCCTGTTGTTCAGCGGGGGGGCAAGGGGAAACGTCCGATACTGAAGACATCAGTCGTCAGAAATCACGGTGGTGCTAAAGTAGCCATACTTTAACGACGTCCAATGACCTGAATTAGCACAACTAGAGGAGGATAGCAGGTAGTGTGTGGGTAGTGAGGTGGAGGGTTTAGGGCAATCAAAGGGCGTGGGTTTTGAGGTGGAGCAGCAACGTCCAGTATTGTGAGAGATCTAGGTTGTCCAGGGTGAAGAAGGTGAGCATTGAGTGTTAAGCTCGATTTTGTACTCCTTGTCACCGATCTTGGCTGGGCCTCGGCGAGCAGCGGACATTTCGTAAACCGTAATTTCTAAAATGCACTAAGCAGAATGGGTTCGTGACAAAAAAAAATGTAGAGCCCGAGTATTCGAGACACATTTGTATTCGTCTTGTCTTCACCAGTATTCGACTCGAATTCGTACTCGACAGGGAAGAAACTATTCGGGCAAGTACATATCCAGCTTCTATTCGCAATTATTCGGAGAAAAATGTCCGCACTCGAATTCGTATTCGTTTTTACAGGCTTACTTGTACTTTCCTGCTCTCCACATTCGATTACTTGCCTCCATTCCCTCTGCTCCATTAGTAGGCCAACGCGATCCCTGCCATTGCTTTACCCCCTCTCCCTTCCCCCCTTCCACCCCCACCCCCCCCCTCCTCCTCTTCTTCCCCCTCCCCTCTTTCAGGCTGCCTTCCAGCTGACGGTGCTGATGGTGCTCAACTACGCGAGCATCTCCCTGCTGGACATTGGCGGCGTGGCGAACCCCACGCAGCTCAAGAACACTATCATATTCAACACCTTCGTATTCTGCCAGGTACCTCTAAAATCCAGCACCCGTTATCTCCTTTCAAACCTTCGAGCCTTATTGCCCGAGTCTAGAATGATTAGACATCAAGTTCAGGATTCCTGGAGTTGTTTTCGGCAAAAGAGGGTAACCTAGTTTTCTGGACACTAACATCGCAACCCTCGGGGAAAGCGGGGGAGCTTGTGAATGATGCTGAATAAGACAAACATCCTCTTCTCTGTTCACCTCAGTATTCTTGAGTTTTGTCTGCGACCATTGTGAACGCATTTTTTGCCGAGCTTGTCCCCCCCCACCCATCCCCCCCTCGCGTCACTGTTTGCGCACAGTAGAATGCAGTTTGTCGACTGTGAGTTTCATGATGCGATCGAGGTACAGTAGTTTCGCTGCTGTTTTTCTTTCGCCAGGGGAGGTTTGCTGAAATTTTTGTCGCCAAGTTTCCCAGCCATTGTTTTCATGTTCAGTATTCATGGTTTTTTACCATTCTAGACTCGGGCTTAAGGTTTTGAAGCACTGGTTGGGTAACCTACCATTACCATCTGCGCCCATGCTTGGCACTTTCTGGTGCCTCGCTCCTCCGGTCTCCCCGTGGCTCTCTTCCTGGCTCAACCTATCTTGCCCTTCTGCTGCTGGCGAACCTTGCTTCAAGCCTAGCTTGCTCCACTTGTCCCCCTCTCCCTCATGTTTCCCCCTCACTTTCTGCCGCTCTGCACCCTCCCTGTTCCCGTCTCTCCATTCCCCTCCTCTCTTGATTTCTCCTCTCGCCTCTCCTCTCCCCTACTCTCCATTCTCCTCCGCTCTCCCATCCTGTCTCCCCTTTCCCCCCTCAGCTGTTCAACGAGGTGACTGCGCGGCGCCCCAACAAGCACAACCTGTTTGAGCGGCAGCACAAGAGCCCCATCTTCGCAGTCTCTGTCACCTCATGTTCTCCTCCCCTCTCCCCCTCCCCTCCTCCCCTCTCCCCCTCCCCTCCTCCCCTCTCCCCCTCCCCTCCTCCCCTCTCCCCTTCCCTCCTCCCCTCTCCCCCTCCCCTCCTCCCCTCTCCCCTTCCCTCCTCCCCTCTCCCCCTCCCCTCCTCCCCTCTCCCCTTCCCTCCTCCCCTCTCCCCCTTCCCTCTCCCCCTCCCCTCTCCCCCCCCCTCCCCTCCCCTTCCTCTCCCCTCTCCCCTTCCCTCCTCCCCTCTCCCCCTCCCTCCTCCCCTCTCCCCTTCCCTCCTCCCCTCTCCCCCTCCCCTCCTCCCCTCTCCCCTTCCCTCCTCCCCTCTCCCCCTCCCCTCTCCCCTCCCCTCCTCCCCTCTCCCCTTCCCTCCTCCCCTATCCCCCTCCCCTCTCCCCCTCCCCTCCTCCCCTCTCCCCTTCCCTCCTCCCGTCTCCCCTTCCCTCCTCCCCTCTCCCCTTCCCTCCTCCCCTCTCCCCTTCCTTCTCCCCTCTCCCCTTCCCTCCTCCCTTCTCCCCTTCCCTCCTCCCTTCTCCCCTTCCCTCCTCCCTTCCCCTTCCCTCCTCCCTTCTCCCCTTCCCTCCTCCCCTCTCCCCTCCTCTCCTCCCGTCTCCCCTTCCCTCCTCTCCTCCTTTCCTCTCCCCTGTGCCTCACAGCTGTTCAACGAGATCAACGCGCGGCGACCCAACAAGCTGAACGTGTTTGAGCGGCTGCACAAGAGCCCCATCTTCATCGCGGTGCTGTGCTTCTCCATCACATTCCAGTCGCTCATCATTGAGGTCTTCCAGTCCTTTGCCGACACCACCTCGCTCTCCTGGCAGCAGTGGCTTCTCTGCATCGGCATCGGCGCCATCAGGTGATAGGACTCTCTAGCTGTCTGCTTGCTTGCCCCGTCTCATGCCGTGCCGTGCCATGCCGTGCCATGCTGTGCCATGCCGTGCCATGCCGTGCCATGCCATGCCGTGCCATGCCATGCCGTGCCATGCCGTGCCATGCCATGCCGTGCCATGCCGTGCCATGCCGTGCCATGCCATGCCGTGCCATGCCATGCGGTGCCATGCCATGCTGTCCCATGCCGTGCCATGCAGTGCCAAGCCGTGCCATGCCGTGCCCGTGCCCTGCTGTGCCATGCCGTGCCATGCCGTGCCATGCCGTGCCGTGCCGTGCCGTGCCGTGCCGTGCCGTGCCGTGCCGTGCCGTGCCGTGCCGTGCCGTGCCGTTCCGTGCCGTGCTGTGCCGTGCCATGCCGTGCCATGCCGTGCCATGCCGTGCCATGCCATGCCATGCCGTGCCATGCCGTGCCATGCCGTCCCATGCCGTGCCATGCTGTGCCATGCCGTGCCATGCCATGCCATGCCGTGCCATGCCGTGCCATGCCGTGCCATGCCGTGCCATGCCGTGCCATGCCATGCCATGCTGTGCCATGCCGTGCCATGCCATGCTGTCCCATGCCATGCCATGCCATGCTATGCCGCCCCATCCAAGCCATGCGATCCTGTAGCGTTGCATCCCATTCGTGTGCCATGCGATGCCATGCCTTGTCTTGCCTCTGCTAGCCCTCGTTTCGCTATCCGTTCTCCTGCATGAGTGGCTTTGCTGTAGCATGGCACTTCATACCATGCGCCCATGTCATGCCTTGCCATGCCATCCATTCGCACCACTCTGTCCCGTTCACCTGCATGAGTTGCTTCCAGCTGCGTCCACTAACTCACCACCCATCTCCACTTTCCCCTCCCTTCCCCACACTCCACCTCCTCTCTGCAGTCTGCCCCTGGCGTTCGTAGCCAAGTTCATCCCAGTGACAGAGGCGCCTCTCTTTGACTGCTTCCAGCGCCTGCGCCTGCGCCCGAAGCGCAGAAAGTCCTCCCGGAACCTCATCACCATCCAGGAGCTGCAGGCCTCTGCCATCAGTGCTGCTGCTGCTGCCACCGGCAGCCGTGCTGCTGCTTCCTCTGCTGCTGCTGCTGCTGGGGGAAAGAGTGCAGGGAATGGTGGGACTGCTGCTGGAGGTGGGGCTGGGGCAGTGGCAGCAGAGGGAGAAGCGCCTGCTGCACCCTCTGCTGCTGGTGGAGCATCCCTGGGTGGAGCAGCAGTGCAACCTGCAGTGTCCTCGTAACGCATGCATGCTGGGGGGTGACTGGAAGAGTTTGCAGCTGCAACCATTGCAGCAGCAGCAGCAGCACATTGTGCTGCAGTGGCTGTGGGCCGTGTGTCTTGTGTCGTCAGCTTTGCATTTTGGTCTTGTCAGAGGGAGTGACATGGTTGGGTGCGCTCATGCCCTAGTATGCTTCTGATGAAGCGTGACTGGAGACTGTAAGAAGACCAGAAGTGGGCTTGGAGGGACACACTGGAGGTGAAGACCTCACAAGGATTTGAAGACAGGGCCTGGAGCAAAAAAGCCTGGAGGAACAGCTGGTTTCTCGGCATGAGTTTCGGCCCACGCAGGGGAGTTTCTTATGAGCTGTACGGGTGTGCTGCATGTCAAACATATATATAGTTTATGTTAGACTGTATAGGTTCATATCTTAGAGGGTACAACACTTAGGTTTATATGTTCAAATTATATAAGTTATAATTTATATAGGCTTGGTAGGTTATTACTGAACCTTTTCTGTAGAGGGTACAAACCCCTCCTTGTACTCCTCTCTCTTCCTAATCCAACTCTCTTTTCTCTCGACACTTTTCCTACCCTCTAGCTAAAACCCCGCCGCCACATTCATGGCGCCTTGTTCCTGCCTAGTATCCTAGCCTAGAGCTACTTAAACATGGTATCGAGAGCAGGACGTCCTTCCTGGGCCTGCTCCCCTCCGTGCTTCCGCTGTGTTCTCATTTACTGCCTTCCGACTTCCTGCCGTGCCACCGTGGCAGCCATGCCCGTTCCTGCCGTGCCGCCGCGTCGTGACGCGTGGCGTCGACGCCACACTGCTGTGACGGCGCCGTGCTTACCATCGCAGCGGCGACGTCCCACCGCTGCATCGACGCCGCGATGTGTCGGCGTCGTAATGCTGCCGTGGCAGCGTCGTCGGACAGCAGCTTGCCGCGCGACGTTCATGGCGCCGCCAAACCTGCTGCCCGCACGCCAGCCTCAAGCGTGAGGCTGGACCACGCCCCGCCCCCCTTCCCCTGTGTCCTGTATCTTGCCGCAGCTGACGGCTGATTCCCGCCGGCCGTCCCACCCTCGCGGGGTCTAGCCACGTCACCGAGAGGTGCGGGTGCCGCCGCCGCCGCCGCTGTTGTCGAAGCCGCCGCCGCCGCCGCTGTCGCCGCTTGCGTCGGGGCCACGCAGCCGCACGCCGCCGCCGCCGCCGCTGTCGACACTGCCGCCGCTGCCGCCGTCGCCGCCGCAGCCCCTGCGGTCGACGTCGCCGCCTCACGCACCGTGGGGTCGACCGACCTAGTGTCGCTGTCCCTGTGGCTGGAATGGGGGTGCTAGGTTAGGGGGTGTGTGGCGTGTTGGGTGGGTGTGTGACTACCAAGCCTAGGGGGTGTGTTCAAATTATATAAGTTATAATTTATATAGGCTTGGTAGGTTATTACTGAACCTTTTCTGTAGAGGGTACAAACCCCTCCTTGTACTCCTCTCTCTTCCTAATCCAACTCTCTTTTCTCTCGACACTTTTCCTACCCTCCTAGCTAAACCCCGCCGCCACATTCATGGCGCCTTGTTCCTGCCTAGTATCCTAGCCTAGAGCTACTTAAACATTATACCCTTGTACTGTTTTCTCTCGACATTCGATTCTACACTAAGATGGTATCACGCTTGGTAGGTAGGTCCCGCTGCCCACGCTTCCGCCCTAGGCCCTTGTCGCGCCGCCCCTAGCTAGTCGCGCCCGTTCCTAGCCGCCCCCCTGAGCCGTCGCGCCCGTTCCTAGCCGGCCCCCTGAGCCGTCGCGCCCATTCCTAGCCGGCCCCCTGAACCGATGCGCCCGTCCTAGCCGGCCCCCTGAGCCGTCGCGCCCGTTCCTAGCCGCCCCCCTGAGCCGTCGCACCGGTTCCTAGCCGGCCCCCTGCGCCGTTCGCGCCCGTCCTAGCTGGCCCCCTGAGCCGTCACGCCAGTTCCTAGCCAGCCCCCTAGCCGTCGCGCCCGTCCTAGCGCGCAACTTGCCGAACATGTACTTTTCCCTAGAGCTATAAATCCTTGTAATGCCTTTCTATTATCAACCTTGACTTTCCACAGAATTATGTGCTCAGGTTATTCAACCTTCGTCTATCCACAAGTTCATCTACTCAGGTTCACTCTTATAAGACTTCCGCTCAGGCTTGTCGCTATCAGGGTATTTTTGTTAACGTGAGAAGGAATGATAACTAGAGGTGGAAACCTAGAACAAATACTAGTTGGTTGTACTCACTAGAAGCATACCTCAGTCTAGCCTATAACTTCAACATAGCTAATATGTATAAGTTGACACACCCCCTAGGCTAGACAAGGGGTGAAAGTAAACAATAAGCAAACATCTCAGGGCGGCACTACTAGTCCAGCCACTGAGGCAGGGGTCTGGAGACCAGTCAGCAAGAATACAACCAAAACTAAAGCAAACCAAGGTGGCACTACTAGTCCAGCCTCTGGAGGTAAGGCCACAAGGCCAGTCTGACAGGCATATATAATAGAGAGTACACAATCAGGATCCTAACAGGGGAGCAGCTACACGAACAAGACCAAGCTGTACACAGTGCCGCTGATGATCTTTAGGCGCAAGCGCCTTAGTGAAGATATCAGCTGTGTTGGCACCAGAGGTCAAGTGAACTACGCGGGCCTGGCGGCGCTGCTGTAGCTCGCCCAGGAGGAAGTACCGCAGCTGGATATGCTTCGCTCTGCCCTCAAGCCGAGGCTCCTGACACATGAGTATCATGGCCCTGTTGTCAGCGTACAGGACCGGGGCAGAGCTAGGCCGCTCACCTAAGTCTGTGAGCAAGAAGGTCAGCCAGCGGAGCTCCTGTGCTGCCATGGCACCAGCGTAGATCTCAGCCTCACAGCTAGACTGAGCCACACACGACGAGCGAGTGGATCTCCAAGAGATAGCACCCGAACCAAGGCTGAAACAGTAGCCCTGCGACGACCTGAGCGTCTCAGCATCGTCCGCCCAAGGAGCGTCTGTGTGCCCAGTAAGGACCACTGGCCTGCGTCCTCCTAGCACCAACCCCATGCCCGATGTACTAGCAAGATAACGCAAAACCCTCTTAACGGCAGACCAGTGCTGAGGTTGGTGTCTGCCTGTGGCCACAAAGCGAGCCCGGATGCTGAGAGGGTATGCGAGATCTGGGCGAGTGCAAGTCATCAGGTATATGAGGCAACCCACCAGCTCTGCGTAGGGGCCACTGGGCTCTACTGGCTCCTCAAGAACTGGAGCAGAGAGCCCATGGTCTACGGGTAGAGGTGTGGGCTGTGCGGAGGAGAACTGAAGACCGAACCTCTGAAGGACCTGACGCACCAAGTGTGACTGGGTCATAGTGATGGTGCGTGCTGCTCTGTCCCTAGAGATCTGCAGGCCAAGATAGCGACGCAGCTCTCCAAGGTCAGTGCAGGTGTGTCTCTTCAGCAGCTCAGCCTTCACAGAGGCCAGTGCGTCCCTGTCAGGAGTAGCGAAGACCAGGTCGTCTACGTAGACAAGGATGTAGAACGGAGTCCGGCCGGAACGCACAAACAGTGAAGGGTCAGCAGAGGACGGAAAGAACTGCAGGTCTGCTAACGTGGCACGTAGCGTGTCGTGCCACTCACGGGGAGCCTGACGCAGGCCGTAGACCGGGCGCCTGAGAAGCCACTGGGTCCCAGGAGGGAAGGTACCAGTGAAGCCCTGTGGTCGGCGCAGGTAGACCTGCTCGTGTAGGCTGCCTTGAAGAAAGGCAGTAGAGAAGTGGAGGGAGTGAAGCTCGTAGTCACGCTGTGCTGCTACGTGTAGCAGCGCCCGAAGAGTGGTCATCTTCGGGGTCGGGGCGAAGGTCTGGAAGAAGTCAACCCCCTCGCGCTGACTGAAACCTCTAGCCACGTAGCGCACCTTGAAGGCAGGCGGCTCTCCAGGGGGGCACTTCACCTTGAAGAGCCATCGACCATCGACTACGTTCACCCCAGGCGGGGGAACTGCGTCGACGTAAGTGCCGGTGGACTTCCAAGATGCCATCTCCTGCTCCATGGCAGCTATCCACTGAGAGGCCCAAGGTCCCGAGGTGGCCTCAGCGTAGGTGCGAGGGGTCGGGATGTCGAAGGCGTCTGGGTCACCCTCAGGGACTAACAGCATGGAGCAGAGATGGGGAGCAACCTCGGAAAGGAAAGCAAGCTCGTACTGCCTGTCCTCTAGAACGTCACTGCCAAGGGCAGGAGCACCCCCGACGGACGGAGGACGGGCAGGGTCAGAGACCAGAGTGGTAGCGTAGTCAAGGCGGCCGGTAGAGGCGAAGTCAGCGACAGCAGCGACAAGCGCGTCAAGGCGCGAGACAGGAACAACGGTGTCGGTAACAAGAGAGGCAAGGACCCGAGGGACAAGGGGACGAGCAGCACGGAGGTAGTCAGAGAACGGAGGAGGGGCAACAGCAAGGGACGAGGGAGGAGGGGACGGGAGGAGGGGAGGACGAGACGAGCGGGAACAGAGCAACATAGGGTGGGTGGGCAGGACAGGAGAGACGGGACGAGCACGGGAGGGACGGCGAGCCCAAACGTGAGACGGAGGGGTAGGGTCAGGGGACAGCGGAGGAGACACATGAGGGGAACGAGGAGGAAGACGGGCCGGAGACGAGTCCGGCGGCGGGAACACAGGACCGTAGACAGGGAGGTCAGCAGGCGGTGGGGGAGACACCGTCGCGCGGTCTGGGGAGGGAAGGCCGAGCAGGCGGAGAGCGGAGACCAGCGGCGACGGCTGCTGCGGCGGCAACGACGGCTGGGCCGGAACTCTCGGACCAGCACAGGCAGAACGACCGTCGGCAGAACACTCAACAGCAGCACCCCCAGAACCAACACCCCCAGAGCGAGAACCCCCGCCAACACCAGCAGCACCCCCAGAAGCCGCAGGACGAACACCCTCCTCCACACCAGCACCCCCAGGGGCCAAGAGCGGCGGCGGCAGTGGCGGCGACGACTGCGGCGGTGACAGCGGCGACGGCTGCGGCGGCGACGGCGGCGGCGGCTGCAGCGGGGTCGGCAACTACGACAGTGGGGGCGGAGGCACTGGGGAAGGGGGACGCGGCAAGGACAGACCGGGGGTACCACCAGAGTCAGCAGACTCCTCAACGGGGACAACCGACGGGAGGGGAGTGACGTGAGAGACACCAGACGGGGCAGGACGAGGCGGGAGAGGGGCAGGGGCTACCAGGGGAGAGGGAGCAAGGAACAGGGGGGGGGCAACTGGGAGACCCCGGTGAGGGAAGCGGCGGTAGAAGGAGACGGACTCGTCAAAGGTGACGTCACGAGAGTGGAGGAAGCGGTGAGACGGCGGGTGGTAGAAAAGCCAGTCAGACGAGTCCAGGGGGAAACCGAGGAAGACACAGGGGACAGTGCATGCAGTGAGCTTGTCCGTGCCAGAGGCATGAACGTGAGCAAGGCAGCCCCAGACGTGGAACGCAGACGCGTCACCGGGGGACCCGGTCCAAAGGAGGGTCGGCGAAACCTGCGGCCGCTGGGAGCGTGGCCATAGGTTAAGCTGGTGAGCAGCGTAGCGAACAGCGAACGG